TTAAAATTTTAAACAAGAATAACTTAACAAAAACTTAATCAAATTCAATAAAAGTTTTTTAAATTAATTCTACAAGTATGTAAAAATTATTTAAAAAAATTTTTAATAAATTTAGTCAAGTTTTTGTTAAGTTATTCTTGTTTAAAATTATAAAAAAAATTTTATTATAAAAAATTTGCTCGATTTCTATTGACTCACCCCCATATATACTTTGACTACATGTATAAATATATAATTTTTTATTGTTTACAATAATATTATTTTAGATTTTATTATTACTTATCTTGCCAGGTATATATATTGCGTAAATTAATTATATTTTTAAGTTTGCATAAGCTTACATATATGCATTTATATGTTACTTAGGCTTTGCATATTATCTAAATATACTCTACTATATTGTTGTTAACATACAGTCATTTTTATTATTTTTTTTGCTTTAACAATAATTGCTATGGTAGATTCTAATTAAATTGTTATCATTATATTACTATCTTATTATTTAATATAATCACTTATATCCAATTTATTATACCTTCTTTTTTCGGGGCATGCATTGTAAGTTTATTATTGATCAGAAATCTTTGGATTTTTAAAATTTGTATTAATTTATATATTTTTATACTGCATGAAGATTTATTTTTCTTGGTTATGCATCGTACATTGCATTACGTGAATCCTCAGAAACATATGACAATCATTTGATAAACATATCATGACATCATTTGTTTGCCAAAATTAAATAGACTGGCTTAAGCTATGCACCTAAACTAACCCTATCCTAGTCGAATGATAGTCATGTGATATTGTGATGATCACTGGGTGTGATGACTAGAAAACGGCGACTCAGTCGCTCCACAACACAGAAGCTCACGTAACCTGCGGTGGATAACCTTTCGAAAGAGGTGTGTTAGATTTGGCTGGTGGGTGATTTAAGGCGTCAGTTACTCTAGGTCAGCAACGCTAGGTCACGTGAACAAGGGCTTAACGAGCAACAAATTATAACTTTAGGGTTCAAAGGTGTATTCGCGCAATAGTATTTTTATACAATGTTATGGGCAATGTATTTGATAAATTTGAGACTTGGTTATTAGTGAAGCAAACGAAACATCATTTTTCTTGGGGCGATAACGCCTTTATTTATAATAAACTTTTGCTTAGTACTTATTATAATCATTATATCCCTTATATTTATTAAAATGATTAAATTGATTATAACAAATAAAACTATTATATCTCCTATAACAATTAAATTGGTTTTAACTATTATCTTCGTTATATTAGTTATCTGAGATATGTTTAATTTCTTCATTATATTCAATATATCACTGGCAACTCCTTTTTAAGTAATAGATCATCATAACCACGTCAACATAAGTAGGCACAGCAATTTCCGATTCACAATTTTTGGATCTCACATTTCTCTTCTGATTAAAGCCGAGTTCTATGAGCTTCTTAGGTTAACTTGCTTTATATCATCAATGCTTAAAACCCTAAGGCCCTGGTAGGTCACTTTTATAGTGCAGTATATTTGGTCCATTTTGACAACCACGAAAACATAATAAACCTTAATAATGATGGTGTAATAGTGGGACATAACCATTTCATGAAGTAATCTCTTTTGTGCCAGAGTTGCGCCTGCAAAGATCATTACCAAGTAGTAGGAATACACCAGATATCAATTCTCTCTTGTAACCAAATAGCTTGAGTAAGTAGGAGACATGTTATAGATACACAGTTTGCCAGATTATGTTAGTCATTATAGGGGGGTGGTATCAGGTTACTTCAATAGGTTCGGATTGAGTGATGTTATCAACGATTCCATCTAATGTAATCAAACTTCTAACTATTTCGAATATAGAAGAGTAGATTTTGCCAATCTGCAAATTTTTACTCTCTTTCCCCTGTATTTTTATATTCTTTTTATTTTTTTCTTGCTCTTGACTCTAGATCAGTTTTCTTTGAAAGCCTTTCATTTTTTTGGTAATTCATATATACGTATTTTTAGATTCCTTTTGTTCTCATTTTCTTTTTTTTTTTTTTTATTGATGATTGTAGTACTCTTTCAGCAGTGCAATGTTAAATGGTGTTGCCAAGACCTTTCCTTATATAGTTCTTAATTTATAGACATCTCAATTTAGTATCTGATAGATGTAAAACAGACTATTCTATTTTGGTTCCAGCTTCATGCTTCTATTATACTTTTTTGATGCTCAGTATAACAAAACTTTGTTGCTAATATCCAAGTTAGGCAGAAAATTAGCTTTTTGATCATATTGTTCTTTTTGTTTCTGTTGTGTTTGTTGGGTCCTCTGCACATCCTCTAACATATTAATAGCAAATCTTCTAACAATTGAAATGTCTTTTGTATTATTGTACCTTCCAATAGGTCATCAGAGTTAACAAGTTGTCGGGCCTCTCTTTCATACATCAGATAAAATAGAGTATTTCTGGTAGTCACATTTCAGGAAGTACAGTATGCAAACAGTACTGGAGATATAACCAAGTTCAAGTTACTTATATTATCTATAGATCTTGTGATGAATTTACACAAGATTTTATTGAACCTTTTTACCAACCCATTGGTCTGTGGGCAGTATAGTATAGATAACAAGTGCTTTATTCAAAACTTTTCTAATAGCCTGTTGACGGGTTAATTCTTAAAGTGGGTATCAAGGTCTGATAAAATTTTCATGAAGCATCCGTGCCTACATATGATATCTTCGAAGATAAAATCTGCTATAGTTTGGGAGTCTGTAATCGAAATAGCCCTGGCTCCAGGCATTTCGTCATATAGTTAGTTACTATAACTATATACTGTAAGTTGTGGAGTATGATGGCTAGGGGTTCAACAATATCTATCCCCACTTTATAAAATAGCATCATAACTAGTATGGGCTATAAAGGTCTGCTATATTTATTTTTCCTTCTTCTTTGACATTTTTTATATAATTAAACATATCTTCTAATATATTTAAATGCTTGGGGCTAATAATAGGTTTTGCAGATTTTTTCAAATATTGCTTTAGCTCCAAAATATCCTCTGAGTAGATAATTATGTGTCAATAGAAGAATATGGTTAATTTTGTATTTCCAGACTACTTTTAAAGATTGGTCTTTATTCTTCTTATTTATCTTATATAATAAACTGTTTTTTAAACAAAATGATATGCTATAATTAATCAATTGTTTCTGTTGTTTTTTTTCTAGATCTTTTTTTATATATCCTTCTTGCAAGTATCTTTTTAATCGAGTATAGTCTTCTTCTTCTATTTTTAGACTTCTTTTGCCAGGACACTAACCATCTGGACTAGATTAGATTTATCATCAGATTTGGATAGTTCACTGTTTTGGATTTGGCTTTTTTTTTTATTTTTTTTTATAATTCTATAAGCATTGAGCTGATTCCAGGAGATGTTGGTTCCAAGATAATAAATCTTCGATAGTTACATAATTGGTCCTTCTTATAAGTATTGACAGCTTTGACATTTATTTGTTCTATGCAATCTAAGTCGATTTTAGTTGTCATTAAATACCCTCTTCATCTAGCTCTTGTTGGGCATCAGCCATAATCTATTTTTTTAAAATTAACAAGTTCTTCAGGTTGTGTACAATAAGTTAGTATCCGAATTGCTCTATCAAGTATATGGTCTTGTCTCAGTTTATTACTTCTAGAGCGAAGTGTTCGAGTTCTATTGGGTGAAAGTACACATGAAAGTTTTTTTTGTAGAATTAGTTCAGGTGGAGAAAGCTTGAAGCACTATGACAATCATCAGTTATTTTTCAAAAGTATAGTGTATTATACTTTGGATTCATGCTTGGCTATTGATTTCATTAGCAGTCTGTTCACTGGGTCCTAGTAAAATATTTTCTATTTCAATACCTTCTTTCTGTTCATTTTTATTTTCTATTTTTATTATAAAAACTTCTTTTTCTTCACTTATTTTACAGCATCTATCTTCTCCTTCTTGGGTTATTACAGTTTTGTTATCATCATAGCTGTATCAAAATTCATCATTTTCTTTTTCGTCAGTTTCTGGGTTAGTATTTTCTTTACAATTTTCTGACACTGTTTCTCTCATTATTACCACATCTCTGCTTTGGGTAGATTCATCATCTGACTCAAATGCTTCTAAGACTAATTTTCGGTATTCTAATTCCTTCCAATATTTTTCAATTACAAATCTTCTCTCTGTGCTTTCTCTGGGTTAGGGAATGGGCTAGTAAAAGTTCAAAACCAGGAACTCCATTATTAAAAAATCTAATGGCAGATAAGTAATCTTCTGGTTCTGACTTGATAGTTTCTTCTCTGAGTCACCATTCTTTACTTTTATCATAAACACTTTGCATTCTTTAGCATCATCATACCAATTATTTTCCCAATCTTGGTCGGCTATACAATCATCTTCTTTGGGTAGCCACCAAGTTTCAACATTCTCATTATCCTATTCATCATCTTCACCATAATTAACTCTCCCATCTGGAGCTCCCTACTTAGGTAGCTTTACACTATATGCTTCATCTAGGCTTGGTTGATTCTTTTCGTATTTATTATTAGGCTGCCATGTCTCTTCCTCAGGATTATGCTTATCCCAGGTTAGTATACAGCCTGATTCTAATGCTAGCTGTTCTAGCAATTCTTGATAATCTTTATCTTCATCACTTATCTAATCTTCATCTTCATCACTTATCTATTTCTTATATCGAATAGGTTCACAATCATTATTTTCATAGTCGCTAGGTATGTAATCACCCTTTTTAAGAACCATTCCTTTTTTTCTGCATTTATCATAGTAAAACCTGTTTCGTTCGATTCTTTTTCACCTGCTACAGCTTCTTTTGAGGCCTCCCTTTTTGGTTTAAGTAAATTAGTTTGCTTCTTTTGATTTCATCTTCCCATTTTTTTTGTTTTGTATTTTCTATTTTTCTCTTCGATTCTATATACTTCTGCAATTTTTTCTTTAGCTCTATTTATCTGTAACAATGCATTTGTATTTAGGTAGGTATTTCTTGATCTATGTTGAATCATATAGTTATATAGTTGCAACTGGAGTATCTATCATGCCCTTCTTCTCTTCAAGTTCATACTATACAATCACTTTAGTGCCAAATAGTCTGTTATGATTGTAAATAGTTTAAAGCCAAAATAATAGTAGTAGTATTCAACTGTTCAAATAACTACCAGACACTCTAATTCACATGCTAGATAATTTCGTTCAGCTTTAAACAGATGCAGCTGGCATAGGAGATCATGTGTTCTAATCTGATGCCAGTTGTATTAGTGTACAAGTAGAATATGTCATCTAAATAGGGGTACTTGAAAATGAGTGCTATTATCAGGTGATTTTTTAATACCTCAAATGCTCTTTGTTGCTCCTGACCCTAACAAAAACTAACTCCTTTTGTAACAGATGGTGTAGAGGCCTTGCTAATGCTGCGAACCTGGGTATGAACCTTCTGTAGTATGATGCAAGGCTGATGAACTGCTTTAACTAGTGTAGTGTACCTAGGACAAAGTAATTCTTTACTTTTTTCACTTTACTTTCATCAGATCGTATCTCTTGTCTTCCAATTATATACCTGAGAAAATATATAGTAGGTTTAAAGAAATCTCATTTCTCTATATTGATTTTTAATCTGGCTTGGGCCAACTTATCAAATACTTTCTTTAGGTGTCCTAAATGTTTGTCAAATGTCCTCGAATATATATTAATAT